CTGTCTGATCTTCCACCATAATGCTAAATCAAAAGTTCCATTGATGGGGAACCATTTACAATACTTAAAAATACAGGGCAATAACTCATGTAGTTGGTCATCTGTTACTGAATATTGGGCAGTGTTCGATAACTGCTTTAAAACTTGTATGTAGTGCTTTTGTTGCTTAGAAAACACTGACACCATGATTTACAAGAAAAAGAGAAAGAAAGAAAACCCCCTTATGATTAAAGAGAAAGAAGAAAAACCGTATGCTAGCAGCTTCCCACAGAAAGGTGCTGTCGCCTGGCACCCACCAAATAACTTAAGAAACCAGCAGCTTCCCACAGCCAGGCGCTGCTGTCTGGTAGTGAAAGACAAAAAAAGTGCCTCTTCTATACTTTTGTACACCAGCAGCTTTCCCAGGCTGGGTGCTGCTGGGTGCTGATTTCTGGTACTTATCAGTGGAAAAAATGCTGAGGCCTGGATGCCACTTTCCTCCTTCACATATGAGCACACCGACATCTTCATTTTTTGTAAAGCTCACACAGGGCACCATTTGTCGGTCTCAGTCCAGCAGGGATCGGGGAAACATGCAGAAGAAAGACAAACTCACACTAGTTTGTTGAAGGGGGGGATATTGCCAAGAGCAAATGCTGCCACACTGAGTGCCAGCTCCCACTTTATTCCCACTTATTTACATAGGTTTGATTTTATTTCTACATCCTGCTGACCTTCAGGTTTTATCTGTTTACTGCTCACACACTCACCATGCATTCTGAAGGCAGTGTTCTGGCCTGCTGTTTCTGGTACTCGCAACACAGTGTTCTGAATGCTGCCTCAGTTTCCCACAATCATTCTTCTAACCTCAGGGTCAGTTTACATTTTGCTAACCACCAGTTCTTAATTTCCACACACTTTACTGCACAGAAGGTCTTGCAGAGCTTATCATTATTTACTTTCTACATCCCTCCAGGGTTTTGAAAAATCATCTCCCACAAAGGGGTTTGAAAGGTCTCTGCATTCAAGCAGGCTCCAAACCTAAGGAGTTGTAGGTGGCAGGAATAACAGTCTGTGCCAGTACAAGACTGTGACCAACTGGACACACAGCTATTCTGCAGGCCCATGGCAGTTGTGTCCCATGCCAAACTAAGCAGGAGGGAACACCACTGAGGGTGCTAAATGACAGATATGAAAACAAAAGAGAAACAAAAAATAATCCTTCCAACACCTCTGTCTTTCCAAGGCCTTTGTTCAGGGACCACATACAGCTTTGGTCTACATAGCTTTTGGCTACACAGATCAAGACAGAGTAATCAATTACAGGGAGAAAATCTGTATGCAAGCAAGAGAAGTGAAAGGCCTAGGGTACATGACCTGTGGGGAAGGACTTCATTTGTGCTGCTGAGAGAGGAGGATGCTGAACAAAGAAGAAATTTAATAACCTTTGCATTCATAATAAATGCTTCCAGAAAACAGATCACCATGATAGACAACATGTTAATGGCAACAAAAAGACTCAGAACTTTATAAAATTCTTTGCAGTCATAAAAGTAGCAATACTATCTGGTAGACTGCACAAGTAAATGTCAGTGTCTTCATTGCTGTAAGTCTTTAAAAATAAGTGAGATGAGCATCTATCTTGCATAACCCTCTCTTGGGCACAGGGATAGCCTGGACAACCGTACAAAGGTCTTTCACACAGAATCACAAAATCATTCAGGTTGGAAAAGACTCCTGGGATAATCAAGTCCAACCATCAGCCCTACTCTACAAAGTTCTCCCCTACACCGTATCCCCCAACATCTCATCTAAACGACCCTTAAACACATCCAGGGATGGTGACTCCACCACCTCCCTGGGCAGCCTATTCCACTCTCTGACCACTCTTGCTGTGAAAAACTTTTTCCTAATGTCCAGTCTGAACCTCCCCTGTTGCAGTTTAAAGCCATTCCCTCTTGTTTTTTCGCTAATTACCTGTGAGAGGAGACCAGCACCAACCTCTCTATAATGTCCTTTCAGGTAGCTGTAGAGAGTGATGAGGTCTCCCCTCAGCCTTCTCTTCCTCAGACTAAACAGTCTCAGCTCCTTCAATTGCTCCTCATGGGATTTATTCTCCAGGCCCTTCACCAGCTTCGTTGCCCTCCTCTGCACTCGCTCCAGGTGTGGCCTCACCAGTGCAGAGTACAGGGGGACTATCACCTCCCTACTTCTGCTGGTCACACTATTTCTGACATAAGCCAGGATGCCGTTGGCTTTCTTGGCCACCTTGACACACTGCTGGCTCGTGTTCAGCTGCTTGTCAGTTCAAACCCCCAGATCCTTCTCTCCCAGACAGCTCTCCAGCCACACCTGCCCAAGCCTGTAGCCATGCAGGGGGTTGTTGTGGCCCAAGTGCAGGACCTGGCACTTGGCCTTGTTGAAGCTCATCCCATTAACACTGGCCCACGGATCCAATCTATCCAAGTCTCTCTGTAGACCCTCCCTGTCCTCATGCAGATCGACACTCTCGCTTACCTTGATGTCATCTGTGAACTTACTGATGACACACTCTATGTCCTTATCAAGATCATCAATAAAGATGTTGAACAGAAATGGTCCCAACACCAAGCCCTGAGGAACACCACTTGTGACCAGCCCCCAGCTGGATTTAGCTCCACTGATCACCACTCTCTGGGACCGTCCATCCATCCAGTGCTTGACCCAGCAGACTATTCACTCATCCAGGCCATGGGCAGCCAGTTTTCCTATGAGAATTCTATGGGGAACTGTCAAATGCTTTTTGAAAATCCAGGTAGTCTTTCCAGCCACCTAGTTCCGTATTCCACCACTAAAAACAGATTTAGTTTGTTATTCGACTGCTAAGGTTTTGAGGGAAGAGGAAAAAGAGAAATGCTATGCCAAGTTGGAATTCATTCAAGACTGCTATATAAACAGATAACACCCATCATTAAATCTCCCTAGAATTATGATTATTGTCCTTTATCTCACTCTGAGCATTACCTGTCAGCAAATAATAGATGTAAGCATTTCTACATTTACTACTTTATTAAGCATCAGATCAGTTATGCAAGCCACTTATTAAAAATAGACTTCCCACCATTAAAGTATATTCTCATGGCTTATTAGCATTTCCATGCAAACAGACAAGCAGGTACATTAGTCCCAAATACAATACACTGAAACAATAAAATGTCAAATTTTTCTGCTTAAAATTTCTCTCTGGTTCATTTGCACAGTATCAGAAAAGTTACTACACAAATAGGCTTAGTCTGAAGTAAAAGTGTACAGTTAAACAAGCAGTCTATAAATTTCTATTTAGTTTCTAACATCTTTGCTAGTACAAGCAAACAGTGTTGACAGTACAGGATTTCTTACACAATAAGCAGTAAAAGAAGGAGTCGGGTACATAGGAAATGGAGGTAATTCGAGAAAATCTAACAGATAAATGACATTTTCCACGGTTATTACTAAGAATCCACCTGCCATTTCTCTGGGATCAATGAACTTCTGTAACAGGCTTATAAAATACTTTGTGTTACAGGTCAATAGCACCATTTGTCTGTCTTGGATTCATTAGTACATACCCTAACTATGCAGTCTGCACTCGAATTAACAGAAGCACGTAACTCCCTACTTAACAGTCTGGTCTTTATCCAGCCTTAAAGCCAAGAGCCACCAGGAGCCTCCAAACGAAGGGCAAGCCAGACACAAGCCCTTAATGTGTCACATTTCTCCAGGTTAAAACAAGCTTAAACTGATGAGCACCTTCCTGTGAGTCTGGAGCAGACTGCCACAGTCTGCTTTCCTGCTTCCCAGGCTTGCAAGGGCATGATGGTATTGCACCTTGGGACTAAGAAACTGCTTCCCCCAGGTGAGACAGATTCAGTGACTTTTTCCCTCTTCTCCCACTCCTTTGCAAGCTGGATCAGTCACCTTTGCTGTTCTGAAAGACCATTCTATTTATCTTCGTTTTAGGGAGTAGGGTTCACCTTCCACCTCTCCATCTGTCCTTCTTCCTAAGCACCTAATCACTTCAAAGTTAATTTTCTCACAAGCATAGACCTCTCCTCACTGTGTATTCTGAAAACTCCCTAAACAATCCCAGTTCAAAACCAACATCCCTTGTGGAACAATAGATGAAATTTCTGCTCTTTAGTCAGAAGCATTAGAATGACTTCTCATAAGCATGCAGTATGAACAAGGAAGTTGTTCCTGTTGTGCATAATAGCATGAAGACACAGCTGGGGTTAGTTCTGAGCAGCTAGTAGTTTAATTATTCTTGTCCATTTACTTTCAGTAAAAAATATCTTAGTTTGAAATTACTGTTTCCCTGCAGCCAAGATGGTAAAGATTTGAGCAAAGCAAAAAATGGCACCCATCACTACACTGAGGACAGTAGGTTGGTGGTGGCACCAGCCTGGGAGCCTCTGCAGTGTCCCATGGATCACTTGTCATTCCCAAGGAAGACACTTGTCAGTGAGGACACTGCTGCAGCAGGATTTAGAAAGTTCTTCAAAGATATTTTTTCTAAATATGCATACAGTCCCTTTGCTTGGTTTCATGCAATGTTTCTTGACAAACTGCCATTCACCATTAAAGACTATTCTAGGCCCCACAGCAAGCTGAGTCATATTAATAGTACAAACAAAACAGCTTTGATGGCATATAAATGAGAAGTGGGGTCAGTGGTGAGGTTTTTCCATCTAGAGGAGGCTGGTGCTGGATAAATTTGCATTACTTTCATAGACGTGGCTGAGGGGGATGTCTGGAAAATAACAGAAATCAGGGAGTCTGAAACCTTGGAGGAAACACTTATAGACACTTTTCACTTCATTCCTTGTCCAGACAAAGCTAAGAAGGAGCTCTCTTTGATGCGCTCCGTAGCAAAATCTTCTGGTGTTTTTGCTGTGGGCATTTAATGTTCAGTGGTACTTAGGGTTTTGTGGTGGTGGTTGTGCTCATTCATGTAAAATTAGCATTTTTAAGTAACACAATTGTGCCTTGGGATCTGTTTTTTCCTAGATACCCTGGTTCTTTCAGGTGTCGTAGCTATAATTTCTCATAGTGCAATGCAGCTATTTGGAGCTAACATTTGGAAGGTTTTGTGGTTAATGTCTGTAAAAACTGTGCCTTAATCTGCAAAGATATTCTCACACAGAGAATACCTTTATTACTGTGACTAGGCCAACTGAAATGGGCCTAGTCATTTCGGTTAACTTCAAGTAAATTTTAAGATGGAGCTTAAAAAGCAATGTCTCAGATACATGGCTCTTACAACCACGGGTGTTTGCGCATTACTCTTCATACAGTCTGTCTGATTAGTTAAGTATGGTAATTTGATCAGGTAATTTGATCACTGGACATTTGCAAAACCTACAGCTCCTCTAGCAAAACCTACAGTCCGGCAGGGGGGAGAGAATTCCTTGGGCAGGATTAAAACATTACCTCATCACAACTAATGTGGTGCACAACACTACTGCTTGGACAGGAGTCAGAAAAGATCTTCCCTCGGGTCTGCAGTGTCAAGGAGACATGGATGAATAACTGTTGAATTTGTGCAAATTAGTTTACATTTCCTAGATAAATGAAAAACCATTCTTTTGGAAGGAGTAGCTCAAAAGGATATGGCAGATGATACTGTGGGCTGATATGATAAAGCAGACCCCTACACAGAGTTCTGTGGATGAATAAATACAACTCAGTGGCTACTGAAGCATATTCTCTGGGATAGGGCACATGCCATTTGCAGCTGTAAATCATACCAAATGACTTGCCTCAGCTTTTGAGTTACCAGGATAACTGCCTAAAGTCTATGACACAGTAATTTCAATGAGGAGAGCTATCCCAGATCCACCCAACATGGGGACTGGAATTAGTCTTTTTTATCTTTGATAGACTTTCCCTGTGCTTACCATAAGATTTTGCAGATGCAATGATGGGCTCCACACAGTTTTGTATTATAAAGCAGATCATTATTTACAGTTCCAGACAACAAATGAGACCAAGTGTTATGAAATGACTTTACTGTTTCTTCTGCTAACACTGTAAGTGGCAATGCCGCATAAAATAAAACACTAAATAGATCAACTGGTATTAAGTGAAATGATATTAAGGAGATCATTGGTCATAGCACACATGATATTTTTCAGACTTCCTAAGCCTGATGTATTTCTTTGGATTGACCTAAACCACATCTTGTTCACAGAAGGAAAAAGATGCTGCTGATGAATAAGCTTCCTGGTGCTGAGGAGCAGAAGCTGGCTGTTCCTGTGCTACTTTGTCCTGAACACCTCACCCTGAGCTTTAGCAGCTTGTACAGCCAAAGATGCCATCATTTTCTATTGGGAAACTAACTCAAGGAGCTGAATTCTTTGCTGGTTCTGTCTGGCATTTGTTGACAGCACTGGGCTATTTCTGTCAGGTATAGGCTCTTGAGATAGTGAACAGAAGATGCCAGAAAACAGCATGAGTCTAGGAGGGAAAGGAGAAACATCTCTCCCTGGGTACTAACTGGCAATGACAAATACACCAAGAGTGGTTCACAGAGTAATGTACTTGACCAGTAAAACCCAGACTCTTTTGGGAGCACAAGCAACTCAAAGAGCATGAGTGAAACCATCTGATAGACCCAAGGGCAACAGCAGATTCGTCAGGACAGCGTAGCTGAAACCAGCAAAGTGTCAGATGGCTCTTCTCCACAGACTGGCAGCTGACAGCTCTTCCTGGATGCCCCATGGGGTCCAGGGCCAGGAAAAAGATGAAGCATAAAGGGGAAGAAGCCATTTGGCCATGAATGCATGTTAACACTTGTTCTTGAAACCAGAGTTTCAAATGGAAAAACAGAGAAGATCCCTTTTTTTCAAGCTTTACCCTTTATGTATCATCATACAATGCTCTGGAATGCTGTAATTTCTCAGACAGATGGAAAAAAGTAGCTGATACTATGGGGGAAGCTCTATGCTAATTAATAGGAGTGAACACATGCTGTTTAATATACCTTGGACAGTAAACATCTTCCTGATATTCAAGTTAAGGGTTTGTCAGTTCTCACTCACATGTGCTGTGGATGGAGCATCACTGGGCAGGGGCCTCCGGTGCAGTTTAGGGCAGCTCTAACCCACCACAAAATGCTGTGCTTGTGTTGTCACATGCACAAGGACAAGGGCACTGAAGCACACTTTTCTCAGCTGTGTCTTGGTATGAAGGTGCCAGCGCTAGGGAAAACTCTGTACCACTGTATTTATTAATTTTTCATACCTTGATATCCATTACACTTAATTTAATACAGTGATGATCCATGTAAAAAAGAATGTCAAAAAAGGAATGCTGCAGTTTTGGTTCCATCTGAGTAATGCTGGAAAAGGTCAAAAGACGGCCTAAAAATTACTGCAACTGTTAATGCAGCATGACTTTTATAGACTGTTCAACAGTTCCTGCCTCTCTTTTGTTAAATTTATATATTTGTGTGTTCATGTATATATATTTTCATATATAATTTTGTTGATAAGTTCAGAATTGGACCACTTTGACTATTCCATTCTGTTCCCTCTTCTGTACTATGACTATCCCCACATTATCTCAATGGCTTCCAAAAATGACTAAGTTAATGACTGCATTCCTCTTTTCTGTTCCACTGTGGAGGGCCAGAAGAGTGCAGTGCAATGCAAGTTTTGGCTTTTTTGCTTTTGCTGGATTTTTAGTTATATGCATGTATATTATTTGATCCTTATATAAGAGGATTCACAGTCCAAGGGATGCTTTTCATATTTACACTGACCCTCCACCAATCTTTACCGAATTACTCTGCACAGAACTTTTACCTCCTAGATTTAAAGCACAATTTTGTTTATGTGGAGAATCTAGAGTCTTGTCAGTAAAAGTTTATACATGTTCTGGTACTAAGATCTTTATGCTCCAGATATAACTAGACTGGGTAATTATTTTATTCATATTTTTCTCTTCATTCCTTCTCATTTTGCTTTCTTGTTATTTTGAAATGCAGCTGATGGTTTTTGTTCAGTGCAACATCATATTGTGTGGGGTTCCCCAAGGAAGGTAAATTTCTTTATACAAAATCAGAATTAACTCTCACTATTATGGTTCTATGTTCTAAATTAAACTACTCCAAAAGAGAGGAAAGGACATTTTTTGAGCTATTATTATTCTATAAAGTAACTTTAAGAATGTTCTTAGTTGTCTCTTTGTTTACCTTTGGGATCTTTAGGACTTGCTGATATCACTGCCATTGTGCTCTGTCACCTTGTTTGCTCAGTCTCATTCCTGCTTTTCTACCATATAATTTTTGTTACCTGAATGCCATGCCTACATAAGCTATACACTTGTAACCTGAACAGCAACAAGGTAGACTCAGCCACACAAAACTTGGCTTTTTCACCAGGAGAAAAACACGGCCTCTGAAACAAGCCAGGTGTCAAGGCACTGCGCTCAGACTTGTGAGAGTCTGTTACTTTGTAAGCAGGCAATATGCAGGACACGGTGCAATGATCTGCTGGGAGTCATCCACCCTACACTTTCATATGCCACTTTCAAAAAAATCCCTGAGAACTGCACTGCAGGTCTTCGTGTAACAGCATGCCCTGACGTGTGCAGGAGCTGAGGGACAGTTGCCAATTGTTACTTGGAAATGGGTGTTTATTCTCCAGCATCCTGCATCTGCTGCTTAGCCAATACAGCTATCCATCTGCTGTGATGGACACTGACAACTCCTAGCAGCTTCTCTTTCCCTGCTGCTGGGCTGCAGAAAAATGCAGTGTTGTCCTCACTTCCCCCACAGCTGCCAGGTGTATCTGTGTTTCACTCACAGTGTGAATTGTAGAAGAATCTTTATTTGGCAATTGCCATGGCCCACCCACCAGTGAGCCACAGCCTTCTCCAGCCTAGGACTCCCTACTGGTTTGATTCCATTCCAAAAACTTTTTGGTTACTGCTTTATCCTGCTACAGCACCACATGGCTTTTCAGAGTGCTTTTCTTTATTCACCAAGGCTTGTGGTCCTTGCAAAAGGAATGCTGGGCAGTTTTTGTCACTCCTCCCCACATGCCTGACAGCCTGCTTATTCATGGGGACAGAGCCCTTAGTAAACTCTTCTGAAGCACATGCTGTATCACAAACTTTTGCCTTTGATTCTCTTTTGCATTCAAAAGTTTGGTTATACAGTGTGCCTGTGTCTTTACAGCATGCTTGCACAATGTAAAGTGCAAACTTCAGTTAACAAACCAGCACTGGGCTTATACAGTGTAATCTATTGTGTCATCCTCAAAATCTCAAAGCAAAATTGGTTGAAATGACAGAAAATCTGTTCTCCTTCAGAATGAATATTTGTGAACTTGTAAAAATCCCTGTTACTGTGCAAAGGCAGGACATTGTTAGCCAGTCCATCAGATCCTCAGCCTAGTTCTCAAATATTAGACTTTAACTGGCTAATACTACAATCTGCCTCTAAAGGAAAAGTTTTCCTAAATTCAAATACTTTAAAAGGATGGCAAGGTTCCCCCTTTTGTACTTGAAGGACTTTTCTAATATGTTGAACATTTAAAAAACTTAAAACTTAGGATTTCAACAGAGAAGAGCATCAGTAATTTACAACCACAGATGTGGAACTGGTCCACCTCCAGTAGTTTTCAGGTGTGTTCCTATTTTTCAGCCACAGTAAGACACTGGTGTTGCACTCCCAAGTCTGAATGATGGCAGACGCTACCAGGACATGATTTTTCAAAGACCATGCATGCAAAGCTCCTTCCTTCAGTTACAGACATACAGCCTAGTGCTGCTCTTCTTTCTGTACTCTCATACATAAGGTAGGCATACTACTTTACTGAGACACGTTGCTAATTCATTCAGCACAGACAGCCTAATTGTTTCATATTAAGTATAATAAAAGAAAACTAAGCAAAACCGATGACGCCCCAGAGCCTTTATGCACAAGACTGAGCTGCCTCTGAGATCATACTGTCACAAAGATGTCTCCAGTTGCATGGCATCAGTTCATATTTATCATATGCTGTGGTATAATTTAGCAAAGAATAAGAATCAGCTGGTACTACTTTTCAGCTCTACAAACGATGCCTTAGATGAAGATATTGCTGCCCAAGGACTCATAGATGTGCAATGGCTGTGCAGCTGGCTCCACTTCTGCTGATTAGAAGCAACTATCCCAAATAAAGAGGAACCATTACAGAAATCCAACCTCTCACCTAAAACCTCCCCGCCAACTGAATTCAGATGGCTTTATCACAGTAACAGGGGGAGGAGACCTGTGGCTGAGAAATGCACTGGTCCTGCAGTCACCTTGCAGGAGATAAGAAAGACAGTAAGAAGTGAGACAGGTGGATGTACTTAGCGCCTTCTCCAAAGTGATTAGTCTTACTGTAATTGTTTTCAAGGGAAAATCTGCTAAAGTGTAAATCCACTCAGAGTGGGAAAAGGATGGATACATGTTCTTTAAATTTCAAAGATTCATAAGAAATGGATAAAAAAATCTTAAGTACAATACATTCATTAGCATGCATTCTCACCTAGTAAAGACAGTATCTTTAATCTTCCCTTTTATATTAATCTAGATTAATTTTATTTATCAAATCTACCACATGAATGACATTGTAGTACCCTTTAATTTAATCAGGAAATATAGCTACTGAATATTTTATTAATGACTTTTTTTTTTTTCTTCCAGTAACTGATATATTTTTTCAAGGCAAGTTGTGCAAGGCCTAACTTAACATAAAAACAATTAAAGCAAAAGAAGAATGCTGAGTGTATCAGATGTTAGTTAACTACCAGTGTTAAAAAGTTTAACAAACACAAATGACATTGTATATCAGATTCTTGTTGCTATTTCTGTAATATATCATTAACATTATGAAATTCCTGTGCTATCAAACTGATAACAAACAAATGTAAACAGTCATACACTCTAATGCATGTTAGTTTTTTAATTCCTATTGATTATGTTCAACAAAAAAATCAAGATAGCTGAAGAGCCTGACCCTAATTTTGCAAACTAATCCATGCACACAGCTTTTAACATAAGACACAAGAGCTCTGGGTGGATGCAAGATCTGTATTGGTGGATCACTTTACAGGAAGGGCCCTTTGTTAGGAAAAACTGGACTAATTATGCTGACAAGTGGAAACTGGTTACTCATGACGTTTAACTATCTAGGAAGCAACTAGATTATACTACTTGCTCCCAGAACTTGTGTAGGAGTGTTTCCCCAGAGTAAAATCATTAAACTGTGGAATAGCTTTCTTCAAGCATTTATTGTACAAGTTGTATAATTGCAGATTATTCCCTTAGGCCCTATAAAAACATCTTCTAGTTGCACAGTTTAGAAATTAGTGAGTAAATATAATGGTATTTCAAAAATCTGAATGTACTTTAATCTTCATTTATTCTATTGCTTTGTTTAGCTAACCCTTTACTAGACAATGAATTGGTGGAAATCTGAGTCATTTTGGTTGTCATTAAAATACTGTATATAAACAGGAAAAGTCAGAATAAGGCATTCTCAACACAAGCTTGAGGAACATACATTTTCATGCCCCATGGAACTAACAATTCAATTTCTTCCCAGAAGTAGTGGAATGTTTTTTGCATATAAATCCCCAAATACTTTTTGAATTTTACAGATAAAAAGCATTATTTCATACATCAGTTTTAAAAGCATCGGCTTGATATTTCCTTCCAATTTGTCTGCTGCAGGACTATGAATCTGGAAGGAAGCAGTTCAAAGAAACTCATGACCTACAGAAGACACTTACTTACATAAAACCAAATTAAATAGTATTTTTTTTCAAATGCCATCTAGAAACACTGGATAGATGTATATGAAGTATACACATTATGGTAGGTAGTTATTAATCCCCATGTTTTCACCTGCCATTATTACTGCAAATAACAGTTTCCATGACATGCCTTATGGAACAGTTTACTATTTTCATAAGCAGTCACATGCATTGAAGGTAGGATCACCAACCAGTGCATTTGGCACCCCAAAGCAGAACCAGAGAGGCCAAGCTTACAAATCTCTCTTGCTGAATGACAATTTAGCTGGTGTATGAAATGACAGATCTCAGCTGAAACGAAGAAGCACATTGACCTAGGACATTTCTTCTGGAGCTGCTTCTGCTTCCTGAGTGGGTTTCCCTTCAGGTTTGCTGTCATGGATGGGAGACGGGTTACGGCTGGGCTTGTTGCTGTCATGTGTGCTGTGACCGCTGGCACTGCCAAGGCGAGTTGATGCCACCACAGCTTTTACTGCAGCCTGAGAAAGAGAGGATCAAGCAAACATTCCTTCAAGGACAAGGTCTGCCAGCATTGCAGCCTTTCCATCATCCCATTAGGAACGTAACAGCATTAAGTCTTCATGGTATGTCACATTCAGATACCGGCCAGGGCCTGGACAGATTTAGAAGGCCACCATAAATACTGGATTGAGGTTTAAAACTGCTGCTTTCACAAGGTTACAAGTTGGCCAACATTAACAGAATTTTTTTTTGTTTCAGCTGAACGTGTTGCATTTCTTTTTAGAAACTACTTCAGATCTCCTGTGTTGGATGGCAAAAAGAAAGTTATTTTCTGCAATAATAATAACAACAGTATTATCACTAATTGTATTCCATTAAAAAGTCACAAAGGAAAACAATATTTATCACTATTGCACTATTGCATATGCTAAGCACAATGGTGCAAAGCATATGGGCAGCCTCCTATGTATACATATCAATACACATTGGTGATAGGCTCTCAGATCACATAAATGTCACAAAATGAAGACATGTATTAAGACAGTTACCCTAGCCCTTGCCTTGAAGAGTTTTATTGCCTGAAAAAACAAACATACAGAGGTGAGGAAAAGAAATACTAATCTCTGTGTATGAGAACTCCAGCTATTTTTGATTTGGTTAGCTTTTTGCTTAGACATCACAGATATGCTTCTGCAGGAAAGGATGAGGAGTAAAGCAAGTTTTGTGGATGGTTTGGAGAGGTAACCATGCAAAAAAAACCAAAAAAAACCCCAAACCAACCCCAAAACAGAAAAGAAAAAGAGGATGTGAATGAAAAAACAGACTGTATAAACTTTGGCAAGAAAGAAGAACCAGCTAATATAGAATATAAAGTCAAAGTACAAGGTATGAGCTAATAAAAGTGACAATAATTTTGAAAATGAGAGTCTAGACCTCTTAAAGGAAAATCACAGACATCCACATTAGTGGTGAGGGTATGTGGACAACGGATTACAAACAGAACAGGCCACTCAATGGTATTATAATGTATAATGATACTTTAAATGTAATTGTCCTAGTTTTGGCCAGGATAGAGTTAACTCTCCTTGGGCTGAGAGGGAGTACAGCTGGAGGGCCAGGTCCCAATTGACCACTGGAGTATTCCATGTCATGTGATGACATGCTCAGTGTATAGGCAGGTGAGTGCTCTCCCAGCAAGTTTTTTTTGTTTGCGCTTTCCAGATTGGTGTGGCAGGATTCTCTGGTGCAGTTGAATCGTTACTGGGGATGGGCTCTGTGCCAGTTGCAGCTTGGTGAGTCACTGCTGCCTTTTAGCCGTTTTGGAGTACTATTGTTACTGTTGTTTTTGGTAGTATTACTGAATTTTTTTTTATTCAACCTACAAATTTATTTTGTCTCTCCCCTATTTGACCGTGCTGTGTGTGTGTGTGTGTGTGTGTGTGTGTGTAGGGATGGTATCTGTGTGTGTGTGTGTGTGTGTGTGTGTGTGTGTGAAGTAAACAACTGGCCACATGGCAATTTGCTACTGGCTGAGTTCAAACCACAACAGTAATTTACTCTCACTAGCCATGTGAATGTTTATGAAACAAATTCAACACAATCTATGAATAACCAGATCATGACTGGGAGCTCTAGAGTTATTCTACAAAAATATGTCTTTACAAAAAGAAAGCCTGCTACTGAACTTGCATGTTCAAGGGCTGGGAAAGAGAGGATAATTTTATATTATTCTTACTAACAAAACAACAACTGGAGCATGTATTCACCACCTGTTTTTCTGCTTTGTTCTTGTATTTTGGACCAGAAGTCATTGTCTAAAAATTTATGGTTCATTTCATACATATATATGTGTAAAACTATTAACTCTACAAGAAGTGCTAACTCTAGTTAATTCTCTTATCAACTGGAGATTTGGTCATTTAATCTTTAACAGAGAAGCAGTGAAGAAATAAACTTATAAAAAGCAACAGTTTTTAAACACAGAAGTATAAATTGGTTGACTATAGGGATCTAAATAAATTGGGCTTCAAAAGAATCTTGTTGGTGATCAAAGGTGTAAAAATATAATGAGAATCAAAACCAAAACATGCAAAAAGGGCATGTGTTTCCCTTGGCAGGGAATGTAACAGCTCACTCAGAAATAAAAGAAAAATATGATTCTGCTCATGTTCTGAAATAATTTTGATATACCAGTATTGCATGGCATCTTCAGTGAATCCACAGCAATCATGCTGTAAGGCTACAGAAATTTTTCTGAAAGCAACAATGTTAATAGACAGGTTTAGTCA